AAGGATGGCCATTCCCCTCTCCCAGTCCCACTCTGCCCTGTGTCGTCCATATTTACCTTGTCATCGATGGTATCAAATTTGGTAAGGACAATGCCATCAATGAGCCGAGGTGTCTGGGCCATAGAATGGTCAGCCAAGGCCCTGTTGAACTTGACCTGGAAAGGAGGAACATGACGTTAAGTATAAGATGCACCTCAAGTGGCCAGAGCTGAGGCTGGAAAGAGAACCAAGCCCTAGCCCTCACCAGCTGGTCCACGGCCTCATTGCCTACTAAGGCCTCCCCCACAAACAGCACCAAGTCGGGTGTGTTGACAGTAATGAGCTTCGCCAGGGCAGTCATCAGAGGGGCATTGTCCTGCATGCGGCCAGCTGTGTCCACCAGCACCACATCAAAGCCTTGGTTACGTGCTAGAGAGAAAAAAAGTGGTCAAGTCAAAACTCCTGGACTGTCACGTTTCCAGCTTTCCTCTCAGGAAGTCCCAAACTGGCCATATTAGAAGTCTACCTGTTTATTTCCTTAGGTTACAAGGTAGTGTAAGAAAAAATTCCCATACTCGGCCATCAAGCATATTTAGGAAAAGGGTGGCAGTAGGTAAAGGTGACCAAATAGAGATAAACAAATACACTAGGTTTGCCTGCAACTACACTTACTACCCCAAAGCAGATCACGGCATGTCACTAATCCTGACCTGTTACCGCGCAGAAAGCTGGTGGTAGGGTAACCCCGGTCCTCTGCAAGTTCCAAGAGAACCCAAGGAGAAAAGGGGCCCAGACAAGCCCCCCAGCTTTCTGTGCACTGTACCAAAGGCAATGGCTTCCATGGCGATGCCAGCAGCATCCTTGCCGTAGCCCTTCTCAAACAACTGCACCATGGCGCGGCCGCCGTGATTCTCGGGGGGGTGCAGGGCGCGCAGACGTTGGGTGTGTGTCCGCAGCTGCTCCACAGCCCCAGCACGGAATGTATCACAGGCAGCAATGAGGACACTGAAGCCATTCTCTAACAGCCAGAAGGAAATCTGCAAAAGAGGCAAAGAAAACTGTCACCTAGACCCAGAGGTGCCAGGAAATGCAGCGTGAAGAAATGATGTCAGAGACGGGCTGCGGAACTGCACCGACCTTGGCAAGGTTAGTAGATTTCCCCACGCCATTCACACCACAGAAGGTGACCACGTAAGGGCGCTGATGACGCTGGGCATCCATGATGTCCCGGAGCATGTCCACACGGCGCTGCGGCTGCAGAATCTGCACCAGGGACTCCTGGAGAGCTAGCTTGACGGTGGAAGTCACCGCTGAGGTGGGGGCAGAGGTGTATCAGTGAAGCCCAAGTCACGTGCTCCAGGAATGCCCAGCCCCTTTCTGAGCTAAAGGAACTAGGAGCCTGCCCAGGAATCCTAGGCACTTTACAAGTATTCGTTCATTTTAGTCCTAATTTAGAGCTCATCGACACCCAAAGTCCAAGTTACGAAATAGAAATTTGTGTTATGGGATTTGTCAAAAGTCACGCACCTAGTAAGAACGGAGGTGGACGCGGTGGCCTCCTGGGGTGTGTGATGCCCACCCAAGCACTTCCAGGTCCAGGGAGATACTTACTGCTGAACGTCCCCATCACCTTCCCTTCCAGCTTGTTCGCAACAGATTCACAGAGTTGGACCGCAATGTCTGCTGCCACGTTCTTAGCTGAGAAGAGGGGGAAAGGCGTGGTATGAGTGCTCCAGCAGCAGTGAACAACCCCTATGGTACAGCCATTCTGCCCCCCACCGTCCCTACCCCAGAAACACGAGTCCACCCGTTCCTGACTCACCAATGAGATGGTCACGCATCTTGTCCAGCACAGATTCCATGTCTTCACGACTCAAGCTCTTGGAACCCACAAGGCCCTTCAGCATCCCAAACATGCCACCCAGAGTCCCCTTGGTAGCACTGCAGGCACAGAAGGTTACAGATGCACATGCGGCCAGCAGGCAGCGGCCACGCCTCCTCAGTTCTGGAGCCACACCCACCAGCCACCACCTCGGATCTCCTACCTAGGTTTGGTGGAGTGTTGAGCGGCCCCTTCGTCATCTGAGCTGCTGCAGTCCAGATCCTGAAGCTGCCTCCCAGACCCAGTCCCTCGAATCTGGAGGGTATGCGGAAAAGAAGGAGATGGGATCAAGAACACGATGGGCTGTGGGGGGGAAAGCCTGGATTTACCCTGTCTACACTGCTCCACCTCTTCGATTCAGGAAGCTCCAAATATAACTCACCCCCCGCGCCAAGGAGTCAAGAGTACTGCCCTCCTCATCTCTCCTTCCTCCCCCATTTCTTATTAACATTGGCCTTCACTCTGGCCCTGCTGCCTCTTACCAAGTTGATGTCCTCGGGCGGGGCGCCCTCGGGGGCCCCATTGGCGGTAGGAGCACTATAGTCCAGGACTTCCTTGTTGACAGAGCCACCCAGTGCCCACACCCGGGGCGCTTTTTTGCCCTTCTCCTTGGGAGCATCTGACTTACTGGACTTGCTGCAAAGGGTTACAGCACAAAGGGTTCCGATGAAGAAGCAGGAGAGGAAACATCCACCCCAGAGACAAGGACTCCCTCGCCCCCAACGTGTCTAGATAGCAGTACGTATGGCAAAAGCTGGAATGCTCACCTGGACTTCTCCATACCCCTCCCATGCTTCTGAATGAACTCTTCTCGCTTCCTGCGGATCAGTTCCTCTTTGGAAAGTTCTATCCCGTTCTCAGGCCCCACTGGGAGACCTGACTTTTCTGCAGGGACTGCTTTGCTGGTAGCCAAAGGGCCATCAGAACCTGTCAAGGAGAAAACTCACTGGGGAAGAAAAGACCAAATTCCAACAAAACAGACAAATAGGGAAAAGCCTTCCAAATCATTAAGACGAAACTAGGAACAAACATCTAGGGGATCGCGAGGACCGGGGACGATGGTGAGGGTGGTGGGCACCGGAGCGAGGGAAGGGCGGGGAACCACTCCAGCCCACCTTAATGACTTCTCATGCCCCCAGGTGTCCAAGTTCAAACTCACCTTCCTTCTTGGCCCCCTTGTTTTTTTTGCTGTTCTTGGCTTTTTCCTTAGGCTTTTCACCCCGTGTCTCAATCATGGACCTCACAGGTTTCTTGGCCTTTTCAGAATCTTCAAATTTCTTCATGGTTGTGGGAGCACGGACCTTACTGCTCTCCTCCGCTTCACTAAAGAGAAAAGGGAACAGTCCAAATGCAGGAGAAGGGCCCTCACACCCAGAGGATAACCAGAACGGAGCAGCAAACTCAGGAGGGCCTTTCAATCCACAACACACTGCCGTCCACCCGCCCTCGGGAAGGAAGGAAGCTCAAGTCACAGAGACTACTTTGGAGGGGGGAGGCCTCTCACCGAAGGAGCCGCAGAAAGTCATTCTGGAAATCAAAAGTGCCATTCAGTAGACTTAAGGCACTTTGCTGTTGGATCTCAGTGCGGTACTTGTCACGGAACAGCCGGTGCACGTCGTCTATCAACTTGTCTACGTACGTCAGTGTTAGGATCTTCTGAAAACCTACCTGTTTAGGGAAAGAAACAGAGCCAAGAGATCTGCTCACATGCCAGCCCAGAACAGAGGGAAGCCAACTCAGCCTAGCCCTTCAGAGACTGGCTCAGCCACCTGGCAGGTTTCCCTGACCTAGGAGCAGCCAAGCCCTCTGACTGGGCCCGAGAGCTTCTCCCCTTTCCCCCTCCACCCTCCGTGTCTTCTCAGTTACTTCATCATAAACACGGGGTGCAATTAATCAGGGTTTTCTGAATAATCAGGACTCCGTGGTGACTATAATCATTGCCCCTCTAAAATACCCCCACTTACCACAAACACCAGCTCAAACTGGTTGTCCAGTTTATACTTGAGCGTGAGTGCCTCATGGGTGAAGGAGTTGTTACCTCCCCTTTCCTGGAAAAAGAGTATGTCTCAGAGTTCAGACTGTCCCAACACGTAGACTTGGGCCTCTCCAGGATTGCCTTGGAGAAGAACTAGACACTCCCCCAAACTCAAACCTGTCCCCAGAGCAAGAAGATTCAGGGGAGCTGCTCTTCAGCATTCCTCCTGCGAGAAAAGGAGACACCGAGCTTGGGGGAAAGGGGCAAAGAGGTGGGAGGGGAGGACACGTGCGAGCCAGATGGGAAGGAGTCCTCATAAACAATCAGACTTACTAGCAGCTGTACACTATCTACAGTTCTTAAAGGCCGTTTTTCCAGCCATTATCTCACCCGGCCTTCGAAACAACAGAAAACCAAGCTGCTGGGGGCGAATGGAGGGAACGACGCTAAGTCTCAATAGACTACGGATTCCGGTCAGAGTCCCAGAAAGAGGAGGGGGAGGGGACAGCGCAAAGTTGCGGGATGGTCTGATGGGGGCGGGAGAAAAAAGTGAAGTCACAGTTACGAGTGAGCGGCCGGTTTGAGGTGGGCCGACGGGGTGGGAGGGAGGCGCGGGATTAGTCGAGGCGGGACTAGGGACCGGGTCAGGGGGACGAGCCCAGAGTTCTGATCCCGCGGGGGCAGTACCTGCAGCAACACGGAACGAATCAACGCGTTAACTGGCCCGGTGCATGAGTCGCTCACGCCCTGGAAGCACCAGAGCACTAGCCCGCCTTTGGAGAAAATGGTGAAGAAGTCGAGCATGGCGGCAGCGGGAAAAGAGCCGGGGCCGGCGCCGGGAACTCAGGCCGCGATCGCCCCCGCTTCCTGCAGCGCCAAGCGCGGGACACGTCACACCAGCGGCCCCGGAAACCTGCTCAGCCGCACTTCCGTTTAGCGCAGTACCCTGGGTCCCTCCCCAGCTCGGCCAGCGGACGCGTAGGTCTGACGTAACGCCGGGCACGCCAATGGCGGGTGGGGGCGGGCCTGGGCGGGGCTCTCAGGCAGTTAAGGGACAGTACGGCCGCCTATAGGGTGGAGGGGTGGGGCCCGCAGGGGCCGCTGGCCAATGGGCGCGCTCGAATGAACTGCAGGCGACGCGTAGCAGCGACGGCGGGCTGGGACCTTGCCGGGGTAGGGCGCCCCAATCCTAGCTGCCGAGAGCCCCAGGGCCATGCTTCGGAGGGCGCTGCGGCTCGGCTTGGGCCCGGGCCTCTTGGGCCGGGGGCTAGGCGCACACAGAGAAGGCTCTACTCTGGGTAAAGCTGAGGGCAGCGGAGGGTATCGTGGTTCTGGGGTGTTCCCAATCTCCAGCCATGTGACCTTCAGGACTCGAGGTCCCGGTCCGCGTTGGGAAGAGAGTGGGTCGCTGGGAGCAGGAGGTAACCTTGCCTGCCGGAGCTTGTTAGAGCCTGGACAGGGGTATGGATCCCAGAGTTGCCCTTCTCAGGTGACATATCCCAGATCCTTCTGTGCCTGAACTTACCACCAGAATAGCAGCCAGGCAGATTCATTGGTGGCGCAGAAGTGCATGAAATCCTGCTCGCGTGCAGGATGCTGTGTTTAGTGTTGTTGCCGTGAAGGAGGAAAGAAGAGAAAGCGAGGATTCGATATATGTCCTGCAGGTGCCTGAAGTGTAGCTGGAGAGGGAAGGCTTTAGTAGACCGGTTCAAGACTGGAGGGAACCCAACTCGGAGGATACCCTGCACTGCCAGTGCCAATGGCTAGTGTAATAATAGCAGTACGTGGAACAGGTGGGAACGGAGATCAGCCTTGAAAGATGATGTTTACTGGCTCAAGGAAAGCATGAGTTCCAGGTTCTGGGGAACTGAACAAAGGTTAGGAGGAGAAAAGTATTGTTCTTGTGCAAGGAATCAGCAAAGGACATCCAGATAGAGAGTTTGAGTAGTAGTATGAAATGTACTCAGGACAGGTAAGGTTAAGTCCAGATCAAAGAAGGATTCGAATGCAGAGAAGAGTTTGAACTTTGAATTGGAGACAGTGAGAGAAGACTTGGAGATTCATGAGTTAGGTGTGAAAGACAAAAGGATTCATGTATTCAAGACATTTATTGAGCACTTAGGATGTGCCAGGTACTGTTCTAGACTGGAGATTCTATGGAGAAGGTAGACATAGTACAGCATGAAGCAATCACAGATAAACTCAAAGATGCAAGTGTGTTGCATGCTGCAAAAGAGTGGTTCATGCAGCTATGAGATAGCATGACAGGAGAACTTGGCACAGTCTAGGGGATCAGGAAAGAAGGCATCCCTGAGAAAATGATAACTGAGCTGACATCTAAAGGAAGCAAGGAGTTAGCTGGGCAAAGAAGTGGGCACAGAGTTTCAAAGCAGGGAGAACACCTGTGTGGATCCCCTGTGGCGGGAATGAAGGGGCTGAGGCTGGAGGGTTCGGGGAGGACAGGGCAAACAGGAGCCAGATCATGCAGTGTCTCGCAGGCCACGTGAAAGATTTTGGACTTTTATCCTTAGGGTAATGGAAACCCACTGGGGGGTTTTAAGCAAGAGAGTGTGTGATTAAATTAGTGTTTAGAAAAGATCATTCTAGCCGTGATATAGAAAAGAAGTTGGGGGGTTAGACAAGAGGGGAATGAGTGGAAACAGGAGCTTTTAACAGTTTAGATGGGAGAGACAGCGTGGTTTGGTCTAGGGCAGTGGTGGTAGAGATGGGGAAAAAGGGGGACAGATTGGGTAGATTGGGGAGATATTTAAGAGGCACAGTCGTCAGGACTTGATAACAGACAACATGAATGTAGGTTTGCTGTTGGCGATGGAGATCCAGGATAAGGTGCCACTCAGAGGTCCGTGCTTCAGAGGGCAGTGCGGCTCTAGGTGTGCCGGGATCTCTTGGTCCAGGAGCCTGGGCTCAGGGGAGAGAGAGGTCTGCACAGGAGAGAAATACGTGTAAGTCCCCTAGCCAGTGGAGAGAATAGAGAGTGTCGGTTTTAGGAAGTTGAATCTTGCAGTGCTGGGTATAATGCACTCAAAGGAAGTGAGACTCTGGTGTAGAGAACATGAAGCCAAGCTGTGGAGTGCTGCTGGGTGCGAGTTGACCTCGTGAGAAGGAATGGCAGTGAGGACTGAACACTCGGTGTTCCGTTTAGCCCACCTTTTCCTGTGCCCATCCTCTAACACACACCCCCCTCCACCTCCTGGAAAGGAGATGTATGGCCCTCTTTGACCATAACTGTATCCCACAGCCTGGCATGGAAAGGTGTCGGAGATTAAGAAGAAGATCCAGTCCGTCCTTCCTGGAGGGGCCTGGAGTCCGCTATGTGACACCAGCCACCTGCCCCCTGAACACTCCGATGTGGTGATTGTTGGCGGTGGGGTGCTTGGCCTGTCCGTAGCCTATTGGCTGAAGAGGCTGGAGAAGCGGCAAGGTGCCATTCGGGTGCTGGTGGTGGAGCGGGACCACACGGTGAGGTCTGGGGTGGGGCAGAGTCAGGAGTGGGGTGCAGACCCGTATTTTCTTAAGGACTCGAGGGGAGGAGAGAAGAGGAAAGACCTCAGTGTTTGCAGGGCCAAAGGGCAGGGACTGTGCTTTGGCCCTTGTTGAGAAATAGCCCCATGTTCTTCCTCCCTCAAACCAGAGACCTTGACAATAAGGTTTTTGCTTTGGGAAGCAAATTTCCCAACGTTGTATGTCTCGAGATCTCAGAGGTCTGGCCTGCATTCGAGCTGTGGTTAACACAAACAGCTGTCACGACGCCCTTGGAGGTTCCATTACTTCTGAGGTTTCTGCTCTTTAACTGTTCCTGTTTAGCACTGCCAGCTAGTCACGAATCTTGCTCCTTTGGCCACATCCCTGTTTTCCACGTCCGTCTGCTGCCTTGCACTTCCAGGCCATTACCATTTTGTACGACGGCGCCCAGCCCTTTTTAGCTGACTGAGCCTCTCTGCTCTGTGTATCTTCTAATAAGGATTTTAATAGCTGTTGTCCTGGTTGGGCTGCTGGTTGACTTGCATATAGGTTTCTGCAAGTTTAGATTATAAACTTGCAAGTAGGACTCCCCTTTAACTTTGGGCACGTGGGACTTCCCTGGCAGTCCAGTGGTTAAGACTCCGCACTTCCACTGCAGGTGGCCCAGGTTCCATCCCTGGTCAGGGAACTAAGATCCCGCAAGCAGCAGCGTGGCCAAAAAAAAATTAACTTTGCGTATGTGACTCTCACCCTCCAGTACGGTATTCTGCTCACACGGAACAGGGCCCACATCGCCTTCTCTTGTCTTTCCACAGTATTCCCAGGCCTCCACCGTGCTTTCTGTGGGTGGGATTCGTCAGCAGTTCTCGTTGCCTGAGAACATCCAGCTCTCCCTCTTTTCGGTCGAATTTCTCCGGAACATCAATGTACGTGCTGTGAGATTTGGGGGTGGGGTGGTGACCCCTCCTTTAGCCCAGAGAGGGGAGCAGCCCAGCTGGCTGGGCGAGCATATGGGCAGCTAGGGGTTGGAACCCCCGGTTTTCTTCCCAGCGGCGGTGCCCGGAGAGAGCTTCCCTCTGGGTCGGGGCACCGAGCCCGGGGGCTGTGGTGAGAACGCCAGGAAAGCTCTCCCTCCCTTCTTGAAGTCAGCTTCTTGGAGGAGCTTTTCTTTGCACACAGGAGTACCTGGCCGTGGTCGATGACCCTCCCCTGGACCTCCAGTTCAACCCCTCTGGTTACCTCTTTCTGGCTTCAGAGGAGGGGGCTACGATCATGGAAAACAACGTGAAAGTGCAGAGGTGGGCGCCCGGCACGGCTGCCATGCTGCGTCTCAGCTGCCCGCACGCGGTGGGCTCTGACTCACTTCAGGAGCCAGGGTGACGGAGCCAATGAAACAGGCCCTGCTCCCTAGGAGCTCAGTCTGTCAGGAAGACGCGCACGGGCAAACCTCCGAAGCCCTGTGCTAAGTGCTGTAACACAGACACGGACAAAGCACTGCCGCGGTGGTTCCTAAATTCCCAGGTGATGAGAACCACCCAGGACACATCCCTCCTAATAAGTCAGGATCTCCGGGGAGGGGCCCGCAAATCTGCAAATGTTTTCTCTAAGAGCCAGAGAGCTAAGCTCGTAGGCTTTGCCGGCCATACCGGGACTCGTGTAAAAGGCTGTGGGTCTCATGACCCGTCAGTCAGGACTATCATCTGAGCCTGTGAGCTCATCACTGGGCCCCAACGCCCCATCTGTTACCCTGGGCTCTAATCCCGGCCCGGGTTCACACCTCCTCACTGCTAGATTGCTCCCCAGCACCGTGCCAGGGTCTCCTCCACCCTCCTCTCGTCCAGGCCATCCTGCCCCCATATGGCCGCGCAGGCAGCCTGATCTCTGTGCCTGAGACCCTTTAGCAGAACCTTCTACGAGTTTCACTAGTGACATCAGGTCACGTCCTAAATGCATTATAAATGTTAACTTGTTTAATCATCAGAACATGCCCATTTTACATGTGAGAAAACTGAGGCCCCCAGAGCTAGTAAGTGGTGGCGCTGGGACTTGAACCAGGCAGTTCGCCTTGTGAGTGTGTCCTTTTAGCGCATACAATGCTGTCTTTGGGCATGAAGGTCCCAGAAGGAGACAGTTGTGCTGGTGAGCAGGATTGTTCTAGGAGGTGGACGGGAAGGCTGTCCTGGGCAGAAGGAGTGGAGGGAACAGAGTGACCCGCCCTGTTGTGAAAGCACGAGGAACAGTTAGGGGGTAATAAGGCGTTTAGCGTGGCCAAAGGGAGGCCAGGGTGTCATAAAGGAAACGGGGTCAGATGCTGAAGAGCCTTGACTAGGAGCTTGCTCTTTTCCAGGAAGCAAGGAGGATACGTGGGGAGTTGGGGGCAGAGGAGTGACTTGTGGAGCTGGGGCCCATACTTCTCCCCCCAGACACTCACCCAGCACACATACGTAGACCCACACATTTCTCCAGGCAGCAAGGAGCCAAAGTTTGCCTGATGTCTCCGGAGCAGCTTCGGAAGAAGTTTCCCTGGATGAACACGGAGGGAGTGGCTTTGGCATCTTACGGTGAGGCTTGCGTGCAGAGGGCGTCAGGGGTTGAGGGGCGCCTCAGGTTAGGAGTCTCGGCACCCTGCAGCCGAGTCAAGGAGGAGCGCTTCCCTCCTGGCTGCAGGGCCTCTCCCGGGCCGGGCCGGCTCTCTGTCCTTCCGCGGGATCTGACTCTGGTGCAGTTGGTCAGTGTGACTCCCCAGCTTACGAGCCCTAAAGAAGATTTAGGGGTGCAGGAGAGACAACAGGAGAGGAGGGTCCTAGCCCGCCTTCACGCATCCTCGTTCTCCTCACAGGGTTGGAGAACGAAGGTTGGTTTGACCCCTGGTGTCTGCTCCAGGGGCTTCGGCGAAAGGTCCAGTCCATGGGGGTCCTTTTCTGCCACGGAGAGGTGACACGTGAGTCTGCGGCCCCATGTCCACTGCTTGTGACCTCTGCCAGCCAGGACGCCAGCCCAGACAGGGTCTTACCTTCACGCACAGGCTGAGCAAGGGCTGTGCTGTCTCAGGACAGGGGGTTCTCCCCTGGGGACTGGTCCTGGGCATCCTGACCCTGGCTCCTAACTGCATTTGGCCGTGACTCGTGATCTGCTTGAAGATTTTGGCACCCTCCTGTCCTGTGCGGCCAAGTTCATCCCGGTTACCCTGTCTCTTTGCTTCAGTGGCTGTGGGAAAGCTTCCAGCCTTCCAGCTTTCTTTCCTCAGGAAACCAGTGGAATCTCCATCTCCTTCCTCTTTGAGGCCTCAAGGGCTTATTTCCTTTCCTTTTTCATGCAGGTTTCGTCTCTTCATCTAACCACATGGAGACCGCCATCGGGGAGAAGGTGACTTTGAAAAGGATCCATGAAGTCCATGTAAGTTCCCAGCCTAGGTGTCTCCTTCACCTAATGAGAAACGTAACAGCTGTCATTTTGATCTTCTGCTACCCACTTCCAGTGTGGGTAAACTGAGGTTCAGGAAGAACTGGACTGCTCCCTCCACCCCCCTCTCTGGTGCCCATAGGTGAAGGTGGACCACAGCCAGGAGTACCAGCCCGTGGAATGCTCCATAGTGGTCAATGCAGCGGGAGCCTGGTCTGGGCGAATCGCAGAGCTGGCTGGCATTGGGAAGGGGCCGTCTGGTACTCTTCAGGGTACCAAGCTGCCCGTGGAGCCGAGGAAAAGGTGACTTGCCCAGGGCCGTGGAGCCGGGTGGGGGTGAGAGGAGAGTCGGGGAAGGGAGTTGCTGTTCTCGCCGCTTCTAACGCCGCTGGTCACGGCAGGTATGTGTACTTGTGGCACTGCCCCCAGGGACCAGGCCTGGAGGCTCCGCTTGTCGCAGACCCCAGCGGAGCCTATTTCCGCCGGGAAGGACTCGGCAACAACTACCTGGGCGGCTGTAGCCCCGCTGAGGTGAGCTCTGTGGGGTCGGGGTGCCGGGGAGAAGACAGAGACCGGGTATCGCTGAGCAGTCAGGCTTCTTTGGCGGGCCTAGTGCTGGTACTGATGTCACGGTCCCCTCTGGCTTTGACTTGGGGTCTCTTACCCCCATCCACCACTTACCAAGCGGACAGATTAAAGTGGCCAGCGAGGCCTGGGTCTGATGTGTGTCCTGGGCAACGTAAGCCTTGTCCCCACCTCTGCCCCCAGGAGGAGGAACCAGACCCAGGGAACCTGGAAGTGGACCATGATTTCTTCCAGGAGAAGGTGTGGCCCCATCTGGCCCAGAGAGTACCAGCTTTTGAGACTCTAAAGGTAACTGGATGGAGACAGATGACCCCAGAGCATCTGGGCCCCGTTGGGGCCCCTGCCTCACAGGACCCGTCCCGTGAGCGCGCTCAGCGGTGGTGGAGGGTACCGTGCGCCGAGCCCAGCCGGGAGTGGGTGGGGCGGAGCGCGGGGCAGCCCTCCCGACGCACCGCGTCCTGTGCCCCGCAGGTGCGGTGCGCTTGGGCTGGCTACTACGACTACAACACCTTTGACCAGAATGGCGTGGTGGGCCCTCACCCCCTCGTCGTCAACATGTACTTTGCGACGGGCTTCAGTGGCCACGGGCTCCAGCAGGCCCCCGCCGTGGGCCGGGCTGTGGCAGAGATGATGCTGGAGGGCCACTTCCAGACCATCAACCTGAGCCCCTTCCTCTTCAGCCGCTTTTACTTGGGAGAGAAGGCCCAAGAGCACTGTATCATCTGAGCCCCGCCCCTGGCCCGTGCTCACACCGCCTCACTGCTAGATTGCTCCCCAGCACCACCAGGGTCTCCTCCGCCCCCCTCTCGTCCAGGCCATCCTGCCCCCGTATGGCTGGGCAGGCGGGCCAACCACTGCCTAAGGCCCAGGCTGACAGAGAACGATGGGGTGGGACCCCAGGACTGATCATGGCCCAGGCTGATGCCACCCACCAGGAGCCCAGCCGGACAGAACACCTCGGAGGACCTGAGCACCGTGGCCCAGGACTGGCTCCTTCGTGGGACCGACCCAGAAAGACTGCCTCTGCCCCTGTCGGCAGAGCCCAGGCAGGGAGCATTCTGGGGCAGCCCGACCCAGGTCTATGGACTTGTCTACTTAACCTTTTCATCGATCAAGAAACGTGATGAACGCCTTCCTTTCAGTCTTCTGTCCCTTCCTCTTTTCACCTCATGTTACCCCACTTGCCTTTGATAGCGGGCTGGGAGAAGCACAGGAGCGCTCTTAAATCCTGGGTGTTAGGCATCTGGTTTGCACGTTAGTGCCTCCTTTTCCTGAGTTCCTGACCGGGGTGGGGGGGGGGACTGTAGAGGGAAGGAAGGTGTTCATTCATCAATTCATTATGTATTCAGTTCCAACTCTCGGCAGGCCCAGGGCTACATATTAGAGATATACCAGCAGGCAAAGCATGGCATGTGTTCTCCCTGGAGAGTTCTCACCTGTGCCCGGCCCCTCGCCCCTGGGTCAGCTACAGCGCAGCCCCTGCGGTGCTGGAAGAAAGCACAGGACACAGACGCCTCACCCCAGCTGGATGTTTCTCCCTGAAGGTTCCCAGGGAAGGTGACCTCTGAGCTGAACCTAAAGGATGAGCAGTTTAACACAGTGAACGCAGGGTGATCCCAGGCTGAGGGAAAAGCATATACAAAGGCCTGGGGCCAAGAATTAGCAAAATTCAAGGGACTCAGGTGGTGTGTCCCCGCTGGGTCATGGAGAGGTAGTGAGGGGCACAGCGGGGCCGGGGCCTGAAGAGCCAGCTGTGGACCTTGGCTTTTCTGTGCACAGGGGCCACTGAAGGGCTTTCAATAGGGAAGCAACATGATCAGATTCTCCTTTTAGAGAAATCAGCCTGCCTGCCTTGTGGAGAAGAGAATGATGCCGAAGCAGGAGACCAGACAGCAGGCTGTCACTATAGTCCACGTGGCAGAGACAGCCAGGCCGGCACCATCACGGCAAGAGGTGCACGGACCCGAGAGGCAACTTAGCAGCGAGAAATGGGGTCACGTAAGACTCCAGGGTTCTGGCTTGGACAACTGGATGGATGTCATGCCTTTCGCAGAGATGAGCAGTGTGAGGGACAGAGTGAGTGGGACAGTTTGGGACATGTTAAGGCTCTGCCTACAGGACGTCTGGTAGAAACATCTAATAGGGGTTGACTCACGGTTGCACTGAGGGGGATGTGGGCTGTAGATGGAGATGTGGGCGTCAAGGAGAACGACGGCATCACCCTGGGAGGGGAGAAGAATAGGGGACTGGTGTGGGGCGGGGGGAAGCTGGAGGGGCTCCCGCCATATTTAAGAGATGAGGACGCTGAAGAGGTGGCCAGAGGCAGGAGAAAAGCCCAGAAAGTGAGGTGTCTCCAGAGCCTGGGAGGAAGTGTCAGTGGTATAAACACACACATGAGGGCTGGATTCAGTATCAAGAGGGTCCATGGGGACCTTACGGAGGGCAGCCCGTAAGGTTGAAATGCAGGGAGAAATGCACCCAGTGGGGTTGAGTGTGGATACTTGTTCAGAGGGAGAAGTGAGTGGGAGTAGAGACAGCTAGTAAAGTGCCCACTCCCTCCCTAAGTGGCCTGTGGGGAGAAGAATGAAACATAAAAGATGGAGGTGGACCTCCCGATCATCAGTTGGGAACAGGAGAAGCCCCTGAGTTGGGGGGTGAGGATGTGTGGGGAAGAACCAGGACCAGTTCGGTGAGCAAAAGAGGAAGAGCCACCTGAATGCGGAATGAACTCAATGAACTCACGCTGAGAGAGAGGAAACTTGCCAGGGGCCAGGGGCCAGGGAAGCTGGCTAAACCCAGCGTCCGTGTTAACCCTGTAAGGCAGCCTCCTTTGGTGCCCAGTATCCACTCACCCTTCCTTCAGCACAGATGCCCCTATCTACTGGTCCGGAGGGAAAAGGCCTTCATCTGGCTCCTCCCCCAGAAGCTGCTTCCTCCAGGACAACAAATGCTGCGCTTGTTAGGAAGGCGGTAATGAACCCTCTGCACTCCCACAGGGCTTTATTCAGGCTACAGGACAGCACTTACCCTTGCACCTGTCTTCCCTGTGCAAGGGACACTGGGACCTAGCCTTCACCTTTGCCCCAGCACTGAGCTTGGCTGTCCTATGCTTGTCCTATCCTTGGCTCTCAGTGTGTTTACCTGAGTTCCTCTTTGCTTCCACTGGAGCCAGATCGATCCCTGGCCTCAGGGAATTTTCACTGTAACAGAGGTAAGCTGCTTGAGCACAAGTTCCAAATACCTTAAGGTCCTAGAGGGGATCTCAGCGAAGAAGGTGGGAAGGGCAGGGTTAAGAAAAGTTCTGCATAAGCTGCAAAAATGACCCTTGTCAGAAGATGGGGGTTTTTGAAGAGCAGAGTTGGGAAAAGAGGACACCTTGGGTGGAGGGGACCTCAGAGCACAGGCACAGGGCAGGGAAAATGGAGGTATACCCCATGCAGAGTAAAAGGAACCCTTTTACTCTGAGCACCTGGGCACTAGGCTAGCTGTCTGACAGGCTTTATCTCATCTACTCCTTCCCACAACACTAGGAACCAGATATCATTTCCATGACGAAAGTGAACCTCGACAAGCCCCGCACTTCCCCAAGGTCTCACCTCTAACGTGATGAGCCCTGGATATGAACCCCAGCCATCTGACTCCTGAGCTCCCCCGGTATGGCCTTACACCACACTCCCTCCCAGGAGTAGCACTAATTCCTTTTCGCTGGCTGGTGAGAAAAGCAGGAAATCAGATTGAAAGGGAGATCATGAATCTTAGATCGGCCCTATTAAACCACCTCCACGCTCCAGCATTTCACCTGCACAGCAGTAGGCGTGTTTCCCAAACCGGCATGCGAGGAACACTGCTCAGGAAGATACTGACATTCCCTCTGGGGTGAAACAAAAGCTTGGGAAATGCCAGGTGCTGTATCCCCGCCTGGGTGCTTCACGCCGCTCATCAACATCCCAAGGACGCTAAGAAGTCCCTTCACTCTAAGCCAGGCCTCGCCACCGTTTGCCCGTCACACTCGGCCAGGCGTTAGTGCCCGCGGAGCCGTACCCGCTGGGCCATGAACTTCAGGGGAGCGTGCCAGGCGCCCCGGCCCCGGGGGCTGCCCTCACGGCTGCCAAGGCCGCCGGCCTCTCCGCCTCACCACTGACTGTGTGTGGCCATTGGGAAAGTCCGGCATCATCTTCCTCACTTGCCTAAAAAGAAAAAAGGTATAAACGCTTCCCTGGCAAGGCGTCGAGAAGACTCCATGAATGAAGTAAGGAGTTTCTTTCTGTGTCCGCGACAGAGAACACAGCCGAGGCTGCAGGTTCTCCTGGTGGGTTTTGGGGAACTCGGGAGGAAAGACTTATCTCCAAGCTTCCGCCCAGTCCTTAGCTGCGCAGATGCCCACGAACCTCCCTGCGAGCCCGGGGAAGCGGGCGCGGAGGGCCCGGCCGCCGCCCCCTCGGGTCGGGCTTGGGGCGTGGGAGCGGCGGTCGGAGGAGGAGCCGCGGGCCGGGAGTCTCGGCGCTTCCGGGGCAGCGGGCGGCCGGCTGCACTTCCCGTGGGCGAGCGGCCCGCCGGGCTTCGGAGCCCGTGCCCCGCACCGGCCGCACCGAGGTAGCGCCCCGCGCACCCCGGCGCAGGTGAGCGCTCGGGGAGGCGCGGGCGGGAGCGGGAGCGGCGGGGCCCCGCGGAAGGGGCGAGCAGGCGAGCGGGCGGGGCGGGCAGGCGGCTGGGCCGGCAGGACTCCCGCGGGCAGTGGACCCCTGCGTTCGGCCCCGTTAGCGGCCCGGTCCCCGGTCCCCGGTCATCGGTCCCGGATTTGCCCCCTCCCTGCGGCACCTCCGGCCGGTTCACCGCCGTCCCCTCTGCGCCCCTTCACCTGGCCGCTCGTAGCACCCACAACGCGGAAACGGGTGAAAAGGCCCCCAGAGAGAGCTGTCACCTTCTCTGTCGCCAAGAAGTTCGTGCAGGGAGCCCTCCTTGAGCTTGAGGAGCCTGCCTGGTTCAGGTGGCTTCGGTCTTGAACTGTAGATTCTTTTTCTTCCAGGCTCTCGCGTCCTTCTCTGCTCTGTCGCAGCCTCTCCCTCTGCTCTTCTGATGGCCTTTGTGACAGTGTTTCAGCAAGAACAGGGCTTTACTTAGGGTTACAGGCCTACGGAGCCATCCCTTCCACAGTCATTTCACGAACCTCTACGATGGGCTGGGCATCGTGTGACAGCACTGAACAGGACAGCGTCAGCCCTCGTCCTCTACCTGGGGACACTAGGAACCACACACACCCTGACAAGTGCAGCTAAGAGAGGGGAGGATGGAGTACACACTCCCCAAGCTGATGCATCTAACCCAGGGGCCACGGAGGCTCAGGAATGACCCATCGTCAGAGGAAGGCACATCTAGTTATTTTTAAAACCTTTTTTAAAACTTGAAATACAACCCACACACAGAAAAGTGCACAGATCTTAAGTGTACAGCTTTCCCAGTGTCGCATTCCTGTGACATTCCTGTGCAGCCCGCACCCAGAATAAATAAAACATTACTCGCACTCCAGAGTTTTTTTGACCGCACCAAACAGCTCGTGGGATCTCAGGCCCTGACCAGGGATTGAACCCTGGCACCCAGTAGTGAAAGCCTGGAATCCTAACCCCTAGGCCACCAGGGAACTCCTCGGATGCCCTCTTATGCCCACTTCCAGTCACTACTCTCACACATGGGTAACTGCTATCCTGGTTTCTAACATCATAAAATAGTCTTATTTGGCTTTGAATTTTGGACACTTGGGACCCTACTTATGTACTTTTGTGTGTGGTGTTTTCTACTCAATACATGGATCGAACCCCATTGCATTTAGCACTCGTTCATGTATTCTCGTTGATGTGTAATTTTTCACTGTGTGGATAGACCACTATTTCTACATTCTACCGGATACTAGGATTGATGGATACGGTTGTTTCCAGTTTGGGGTTATTGTAAATAGTGCTGCTGAGGCGTTCTTATGTTTGTGTTTTGGTGAGCATATGTTAGCACTGCTGTTGGGTACATTCCTAGAAGCGGAATATAGCGCCAGACAGTTTTTCAAAGTCCTCCTACCAATTTGCACTCCCACAGGCAGTATATGAGTTCTGTTTCTCCACATGCTTACCGATACTTGATATTGTCTGTCTTTTTCATTGTAGCCATTCTGCTGAGTGAGTGGGAGGTGGGGTTGCGCTGAGGTTTTAATTTGCATTCCTCTGGCGACTCGTGAACTGTGCATGTTTTCATAC